GATTGTGTATTTATTGGTCATTGTTTTGCCTCCCCACTTAGCAGAGTGACTGACTCACAGTAGCTTCTCAACAAGTGTCTTCTGAAAGACTGGATGAGGGGAGTCTCTTCCTAAAACTACCACTGCCGGGGACCTGCCCGGAGAGAGCGGTGAAGACGGCCCATCCCGCTGCCTCGGCTGTTAGTGTGTGTGTCTCCACAGCGGGCCACTGAAGTCTGGTGGGAACAACTGGCATTTAAAACAAACCCCTTATATTTTGCTTGAGTAAAAGTCGTTTTTAAAATAAGTTTTTAAAAGTTTTAGAAACTCAAGGCAGTTTTTAAAAATATGTGTAACTGGAAAGCGGGTGATTCCACTTCAAGGTGATGCTAAGCCCCTTCGAGGCTGTGTGCCCAGGCCACAGGTGTGCGTGCGTGTGGGCTGAGCAGGACACGCAGCAGGCAGAGGAGCGGGTGAGCGTTCTGCAGTGACTGGGACACTGTCGCGCTGGAATGGCCCTGCCCATTACTTTAGTGTGATGAAGGGATCCAGGTTAGCCAAACTTTGCTTTTCAATGAAGCCCAGAAAGCTCAGTTTTCAAATATTGGCTGTGGGAGATTGCAAAAAATGGACCCACGTTCTTGGGTAGAGCCCGCCCACACTGACTCTGGGCTGGCCTTGGGACTCGCTTTGGTCAATAGGATATTAGCAAACAGGGATGCAAGAAGGGGCCTGAAATGTGCTTGCACTTTGGGGCTTGACTCCCTGCTGCCCACTGGGACCCTTATCCCCACCGTGGCCGTGAAAAAAGTGGGGCAAACTTTAAGAGCAGAGGTGTGTGACCTACAGACCTCTGTTGCCCCAGGCAACAACACGCCACTTGCCAGGCAAGTGAGCGAGGCCATCCAGCTCACCCAGCCGCAGCCAGCCCGCCTCGGATTCAGGAGAGCGTCGGACAGTCCGGCGGAGTCGTCCTGGGGCACAGCCGTCCAGCCCAACCCCAGAATTGTGAGCTAAGTTTTAAGCCCATACATGTCGGGGTGGTTGCTATACAATAAAAGTAGCTGATAACAACCTTTAAGTATGTTTTGAGCTGAACAAAAGAGGAATCCAGTTCACTGTAACCTCTGGTGAATGTACAGATTCAACAACAAGGACTTCTCTTACGTGACTTTATCATAGTGAAAAAGCAGAGACTACCTGAAGATCCACGTAACAGACCAGGGAAGCTGCTAGCAAGCACTGGTACATGCAGATCTTGAAAAGGCACCGCTGAAAACAATGGTGCAGAGCTGCAGCCACACAAGCCTATCAGATTTGGTGGGCCACCTATCTGGACGGACAGGGACACCTTTACTGTCCCCGGAGCACACCCCTCATGGAATCCGGACACTGAGCTGAGTGGATTACCCAGCGCAGCGGGGTGGGGGGGTGTTGCTGTAAGGAAGAGATAAAAAGCTCAGAAAAGCCCAGAGTATTTACAGGAACGTGCTCAACTTTGCTTTTTGAGGATAAAGAGCGCACAGTGGGGGCAGTAAACAGCTCTCCGCTCAAGTGATGACAGGTTGTAAAGCGGGATCAGGCTAACACGCTTTCACGTGAAAGCCATTGTTACACTTCGCAGCGAGCGTCTTCTCATTTCTTCAAACACACTGCCAAAACTTACAGGACGTGAAAGAGTTCTCCAGCCCGGCCGGTGTGGCTCAGTGGTTGAGTGTCACCCCACGGACTGAGAGGTCGCCAGTTCGATTCCCAGTCAGGGTATGTGCCCAGGTTGCTGGTTCGATCCTCACTGGGGGGCATGCAGGAGGCAGCCCATGGGTGTTTCTCTCTCACTTTGATGTTTCTGTCTCTCTTCCTCTCTCTCTAAAATAGTCATTAACGCCCTGGCCGGTTTGGCTCAGCGGTTAGAGCATCCGCCTGCAGTCCGGAGAGCCCCGGTTCGGTTCCCGCTAAGGGCATGTACCTCGGTTGCAGTTTGTCCCCGGCCCTGGTTGGTCATGCAGGTGGCAGCCACTCGATGTGTCCCTTCGCATCGATGTTTCCCTCTCTCTCTCTCTTCCTCTCTCTCCCTCCCGCTCTATCTGTGCAAAAAATGGAAAAATGTCCTCGGGTGAGGATTGAAAAAAAAAAAAAAGTCATTAACAAAAAAGAAAAAAAGAAAAAGTTCTCCAAACACAAAGGATGTGACAATCACTGGTAAAAGAAAGTCTTTACTGATGAGAAAGGACATGTTATAAAACAGCATGTATGACAGAATCTAGCTGTTGCTGTAAAGGCAGACGCGGGCTCAGGAAGTAATTGGAGCAGAGACCTTACTGGGCTGCGACAGTGGTTATCTCTGGATGGCAGTAGGGGTAGCTCTTCTCTTTTTCTTCTTGCTTATCGGTATTTTTTCAAACTGCTTTAGTACTATTTTTGCAGTGAGAAACTTCAGTGAAAGGTATCATTTTTAAAAAGTTTGGGGGTGCCTGGAGCCACACCCATGCAGCAAGAGGTTGCTGGTTTGATTCTGGGTCAGGGCACATGCCCAGGTTGTGGGCCTGATCCCCAGTGGGGGGCGTGCAGGAGGCGGCAATTGATGTTCTCATTCATTCTCTCTCTCCCTCTTCCTTCCTCTCTCTCTAAAATCAATAAAGAAAAAAAAAAACAGCTTGGGGGCATACCCATACATGTGTACACACATGAGTATGTACACACACACACACACACACACCAAATAGAAGCAAGACTTTTCTTTCATCTTTTTGGCCAGCGCCTGCAAACGCTCGGCCACGTCGTTGCATTCATTCGGGATTGTGCTGGGAGAAGGCGACCTCCAGACCTGAGGGTCCTCCTCTGTACAAACCCACATGGACTCCTTGCCCGCACAACGCCCACCTGATTGTCTAGGGAGGTGGTCTGATGTCGGGTAGCAGCCCCCTTTGCGGCCAGAGGCAGAAATGAGGCCATGATCTGGGTGCTCTGGCCTCCCATCTGCAAACCTTCTGCAAGAACGTGAGCAGTCCAACCAGGTGCAGCTGCCTCATGACACTGCAGACACCCTGCTCCTCCAGGGCAGCAAGTCCGGGCTCTCCAGGGGCCCTGGCAGCCCAGCCCGGGGGGCCTTCGTCATGACTTGTCCTTCACTACTGACAGAGCGCAGAAGTGTCTTTGTACATGACAGATTCCGTACACATGGCAGGAAGATGGCCCAGCTAATCGTCTGACTCACTCCTAAAATGCCAGCTGGGCAGACACAGCAGAACCCAGCTATACTCTCCCATCCACAAATGTGAGAGCAAAAGCCAACGCAACTCTCTGTTAGCAAACCCAGGAGGACGAATAGCAACGTAAGAAGCCCTTGGCTGGAAAAGATGAGCCGGGCACTGACGATGCCCTAGCAGCATAGTCTACCACTGCACACGCGACGGGGCCAAAAGGAGGAGTATTTTACAAGATAATGAATGAATGGCTGGGTTACGAAATGGAAAATTAGAGCTGATGAACCCAGTCGACCATTCTTCTGAACTGCTTGTTGAACTGTGAGACAACTGATCTTTGTTAGTAAAGGAAATATGGTTGCCAAACATCCAAAAGGATGTTATCAACACGCCACTGTCATTTTTTGAGCACCCACTTCATGACCAAGTCCACTCCTCTGTGCACTTGACCTCAGCATGGAGAGAGAGAAAAAGTTTAATTCCCCCCCTTAGAAAGATGTAGAGTTAGTTAGGTTAGGATTAAAAAATAGGTTCTCCAACTATTCAGAAATCAGATTGCAAATTGGGGATGTTCACCTGTCCCTCTCCTGATCGGACCCATTATAGATCTAATAAAATCACATCACATTTCATTTATTTATTTATTTATTTATTTATTTATTTATTTATCTTTCTTTATTGATTTGAGAGAGAGAAGAAGGGAGAGGGAGAGATAGATAGAAACATCGATGAGAGAGAACATTGACTGGCTGCCTCCTGCATGCCCCCCACTGGGGATCGGGCCCACAACCTGGGCATGTGTCCTGACCGGGAATCGAACTAGAAATCTCTTGGTGCCTGGGTCGACGCTCAGCCACTGAGCCACACCAGTCGCTCACATCATATTTTAGAGCTTGGCAAGAGCCAGGGGATAGCACTTCCTCCCACAGCGAGCTCAGCTTTAGCCACCTGCAGCTTTGTCTGTGAGCCGCATCCAGGTTCAGCCTTACTGCTACCATTTCCCAAGAGGCGCCATGGACAGGCAGGACCAGATGAGCCCTCAGCAGACATCATTCCCTCTATCATCCCACACGTCTTGGAGGTGGGGGCAATCATGTCCTCATTAAGCAAATGAGGAAACAGTGGCTTAGAGAAGCGAAGTGATGTATCGGAGGCGATGCTGCTGGCAGGAACAGAGCGGACGCAGAGCTTCTCAGTGGGCGTGTACGAGGGGAGGAGAAGCCGCGGAGCCGGTGGGAAGGCGCGCGGGGCGGCGCCCCAAAGCACACATTCCAGCTCATCGCCCAGGCCAATCCCTTAAGTCCCCTGTAGACGGAGGCTCACCTCTCTTGCCCGACTACTTTCTAGGATTTTTGTGAGGCCCAAATGAGATCCCATATATGAAAAGCCTTGAAAACAGTAAAGCATTTGACAAATAACATGCATTATTAATAAAAGAACAGAAGTCTAAATCACACTCCTTAACAGCATAACACTTCAAACGTTAAAGCTTCAGTGGAAAGATTACAACCCGTGTCCCCAAACTAAATCCTTTAAATAAATGGTACAGGGTTTTCTTAAGCAATCTTTTAAAGATGAAGGGCTCAGATATACATGCTGGTACTTGAGCTGGTCTTGGTGGGAGCTTTAGTGTCTTAGATCTAATGCAGACACCCTGCCTGAGCTATTTATCTTGACTGAAGAAAGTAACCATCTTCCTGTTGCTATCAATTCTGTTCCAAAGAAACGACTACTGTAAATGTATACCCTTAATCTATGCAATACGAGAATGAGAAAAAACAACACTTTCCCTTGAAAGGGCCACATTATATACAGTAATTCACTTTTATTATCGTCATCATTATTAACGGCCAAGTGCACAGTTCAGTTCCCAGGCAACGTAAACACGGGTGTTTCACGTACAGGACCCCTGCATGCGACATGGTAACACAGCATAGCTCGTATGCTTTACCAGTCTAGTGAAAAGTAATCATGTGATTAAAACCCAAACAATTAAAACAATGCAATCTTCGAGCAATAAACACAATGAATTTTCAAGCCAATGTGGGAGAGTTGAGTACTCCGGCTTTTCAGGTAATGTCAAGTGGAAATCCTGTTTTCTCCTTTCATCTAAGGCTCATTAAAAAGAAATCATACACTCCCCCCACCCCCCAAAAAAACCCACCGAAAAAACACTACCTGCCCAGGCACATGTGACTGGGACGCACTCCCCAGAGGGTTGATGGAGGGACCATCATTCCAGCATGTGCTGAAGGACTGAGGGGTCCCCCTCCACGGCCTGGAGGCCCCTTTGCAAGCTCTGGAAGGTGGCCTGCTTCCCGTAGCGCTGCCTCCAGCGGACGAAGGCCTCCACCATCTGCGACTGCACGTTGTGCGGGTGGTTGGCCTTACAGCGGTAGACGTCCGTCTGGGACAGCCCCAGGGACAGCACCATGGGCTCCCACTCGGGGCCCAGTCTCTGGGCCAGCTGGCTGATCTGCCGGTCTGATGGGGAGCTGTTGAGGACGTGTGCAGGGATTCCAGTGATCCGGTCGGCTGCGGAGGAAAAGCACACCACAGTGAGAAGGGCGAGCAAACACGTCACAATGGAGCAAAACGTATAAACGCGGGGAGAACGACGCACACTCCCGAATGTCAGGGGCCCACGTCTCCTAGTCTTGTAGGGGGCTGCTCAGTACAAAGCCCTAGACAGGCGCGTAAGAAACACCATTCGGCATCTATGAAAATTCAGCATTTATTACAGAAAATTTGAAAACAAGAAAACAAAAATAACTAGAAATCCCACCAGAGAAACCAATTGATAATTTGATCTATTCCGTTCAGTCCTCTCTCTAGAAAACACACATTTAGGATCACGTGGCACGTACTGCTTTGCACCACGTTCACTCCCACCTCTGGCCAGAGGGGCCAGGCAGGGTTCCCGAGGACGGTGCGGTGCGCGTGCCTGCTCGGGCCCCAGTTCCCTCTAGCCTGGCCAGGGGGTGCCGGGTGACGCTGCGTCCTGCAGGACTGGTGAGTGCCGGTGGGGGACACGCTAAACAGAGCAGCTACTCTCTCCAGGCAAACGTGAACATCACCACGAACCATTGCCGTTTCTAACAGAGGAGGAGCCAAGAGGCCTGCGGAGAAAAAATAAGCCTGAGAGGCCACAAGGCAGCAGGTGGAGAGAAGAGCCAAGTTCGCTGTTCCAGTACAGGCCCAGGAGGAGGGGGAGCACCCCGGCAGAGTCCAGAGCAGGGAGAGAAAGCATGTGCCGACAGGGGCAATGAGAGAACCTGAGCCTGCCGTCCTAAACTGGATCCCAGTCTCTGGGAGGCCAGTCTGCTGAGGAAGTCCAGCCGTAGTGAGTGACTGTACATGTTCCCAGCATATCCAGTGAGAAGTGCCATCGGTTACACAGGCCTCCCAGAGGAAGGAGGTTCAAGCTAAGCCTGGAACAAGGGAAGGAGCCCCGTGAAGGGGAAGGAAAGGCATGGGTGTAGCCTGGGCAGAAAGAACTGCATGTGCAAAAGTCCTGAGGTAGGAGAACATGGCCCATTCAAGACAGTGAAAGAAGTTCCCTGTGCAGAGATGGAGGACTCCAGATCCCTACATTTGAGCGCTGGTGCTGGTTAGGCCAGGACTAGAAGCGAGGTCTTCGTAGTCCTGGTGCAGACATCTGCCTGATGGCACACTGACTGTACTTTCTGTCACCAGCATCACAGGTCCGTCCCACCTCACACTCACCAGCTCACTGTTTTGATTTATGAATTCAATAAGAAGACAAAAGGTATCTTACTAGAGTAGCTAATGTTTTCCATTCACACGCCTTTGGCAGTTGCCAATACCTTAGGCATGAATTGCAAAATTATTGTCAAAGCCACTTTCTGGTATTTAGCAAGATTGCCATTATTTTTTAAATCACTATGAAGCCATGAGAACAATAATACTACAGACTAATATTTTATATTAACAGTAATAACTTTATAGCTTTTATAAAAAATAGTGGCTCATTAAACAATTTAAGCAATACAAAAAAGTACAGTACAAAGAAGAAAACAAATCATCCAATATCCCACCATTGTATTTACAGTTTTTGAACATAATTTTGGACATATCTTTATGCACATATACTATTAGAAGAATAATATAACAGCTTTTTTTCTAAGAGTTATTTAATTTTGTTTGAATATAACAGAACTAAAAGGAAAAGACTAAATGGCTTTCTGACATGCAGTTAAAATACACACACACACACACACAAGAATCAATGCTGAGAAAAAAATGTATGAAAATTTAAGAGATACATTGCATGTTTCAACATTAAGCTCTGCAACGAACATTATATCTTTCCTCTCCCTTTCCTCACACCTCTTTATTTTTGTTGCTTACAACGCTTTTATTTTGCCAGGTGCATAACATTTACATGCTTCTGTAACACTGAAATACACCCTTCCCCAGTTGTTTAGTCTTAAAACTAATGGTTTGAATGTTCACCCATATCTTGTTGTTGTTGTTACTGTTATTTTAAAACCATGGAATTTCTATTGCGTCTGTTCTTTTGATTTGAGTCCTAGTGTCAATTTCATCATAGGGTGGTGTTTCTGAGGAAATGATCATGGTTACTATATTCCTTGAGTTCTTTTTTTTTGTATTTATTGATTTTAGAGGAAGAGGAAGGGAGAGGGAGAGAGAGATTGAAACATCGATGAGAGAGAGATAGAAACGTCAATGAGAGAGAACATCGATTGGCTGCCTCCTGCACGCCCCCCCTGGGGACTGGGCCCACAACCTGGGCATGTGCCCTGACTGGGAATTGAACCAGTGACCTCTTAGTGCATGGGTCAACGCTCAACCACGAACCACATTAGCCTGGCTTCCTTGAGTTCTTTCAAATCAAGACTGCTTATTGCCTTCACTGCTAAATAACAACTTCATATTTATTTAAATTTTTCATATTGTATTATTTTAATATAATACTTTCAAATTATGAATACAATTGTATAGATTTTAATAATTTTAGTCCTCTTACAAGTTTGTAGTCCTTGCTCCTATTTCATGGCAGAGAATGTTGGTGTGGAGAATTCTGATACCAACTGGATATCCTCGTTTTATATAACTTGCTTTCTCTACCTGGAGTTTACAGTACTAAAGTTTTAGACCAGGGCATGGCTTGGTCATTTTCTCTCTGTTTTTCCAGGCATGTGGCATGACTTTGTGACCAACGATTTAGTTCTTCCTTTCAGAAAACCTTCTTGTGTTATATCTTTGCGTTCTTCTCCTGCCCGGTATGCCCGTGGCTTTGCCTCCCTGCAGGGCTGTCCTTCTGGCTCTCACGCCGTGACTCCCTGCGACGTGTGCCTGCCTCTCCCCGTGCCGCTCGTGTGACTGCCCACGATGCCTGTTCTTCTTTTCCTTTTCTGGTGCAAATCGTGTATTGTGTTTTCGTTCTCAATTTATCTTCTTGGCTCTTCAATCAGTCTTTTACAAATCCCATTTCACCTCACACCCATTAAGTAGTTACTATAAAAATAAAAACAGAATATGGCGGAGTCGGAAAAGGCTGTGCTGGCTTCCTATCATGACCGCATCAAAATGACAACTAAGGTACAGAAAAACCATGCGTGGCAACCAGCCGAAGATGAGCTGAACAGAAGTCCCATAACTACGGACACAAAGAAGCAGCCACATTGAGACTAACAGGAGGGGTGGAGAGGCGAAACGAGCTGGCTCCACAGCTATGGTGTGGTGGTTTAGGGACAGGAGGGAATCTTGGCTGCAAAGATTGCTCCAAAAGGAATGAGGGAGTCCCACGCAAGGCTCCCCAGCCCAGGGTTCCAGTGCTGGGACGAGAAGTCCCCGTAACCTCTGGATATGAAAATCAGCAGCGATTGCAGCTGAGTGAGACCAAGGGTTTCTGGAGTCCCAGGTGTTCCTCTTAAAGGGCCTGTACATGGCCCTGGCCGGTTTGGCTCAGCAGTTATTAGAGCATCGGCCCCCAGACCAACGCGCCCTGGGTTTAATTCCAGCCAAGGGCACGTACCTCAGTTGCAGTTCGTCCCCGGCCCTGGTCGGGGTCATGCAGGAGGCAATCAGTCGATGTGTCTCTCTCGCATCGATGTTTCTCTCTCTCATCGATGTTTCTCTCTCTCGGTCCCCCTCTCCCCCCTCTCCCTCCCTCCTAATCTGTCTAAGGATAAATGGAAAAATATCCTTGGGTGAGGATGAAAAAAGAGGGCCTGTACATGAACTTACTAGCACTAAGACCCAGCACTGGGAGAGCAGCTGGAAAGATGCCAAGGACATAAGGGGAGAAAATGAATTGTCTGGCTTCAGGGTGAGGGCTGGAGGGGCAGCTTTTCCCCAACAGAAATGCTGGCAGGTGCCATCGTTGCTGTGTTGAGCCCTCCCACAACAATCTGTAGGCACAGGTGGGCGACAGGTTTGAATCTCCATCAACATGGCACGCACCATTTGCCCTTCCCTGAAGATTCCCTGAGACCCTGTCCCATGCAACCCATGGGCCTGCCCAAGCTGCTTCAAGTAGCTTTTCCATACAAATGGCCAGTCTCGTTGTACGCTATGGATTTTCCCAAAATCTTTCAAAGGTTCACAAATCCCAAATAATCAGTGTCTGGCATCAGTGTGCCCTATACCTTCCTATGTGACTCTATGCCTACCACTAGTGGCAGCTGGCCTCGGTTTGCAGTTTAGCTGTCCCAGGAATGTCTAAGCACACCACAAATAACAACCATCTACAGATAACTCTGTAGCTCCAATCAACTAGCCCCAGGCTGGGCACAGGCAGTGGCTGAAGTAGCCTGCACCAGAGCCCCTCCCCAGAGGCCCAGAACAAACATACCCAGTGGCCGGCTTCAGACCACGCCAGAATACCACCCAGTTAGCTGCACATGTGACACGCGCAAAGAGTGGACTCAGCAAGCACAGAGCCCCACTAAAACGAGTCAGGCTCCATGGGGTTAGTCCCACCGCACAACAGCTCATCCAGTGTAGTTACAGCCATTCCTCACAGCAAATCAGCCTGAGGATCAATTCCTTCCACTGACATGCCAACAGAAATCAAGGCTCAACTATAACAGGAGGGCACACACAACCCACACAAGGAACACCCTTGAAACACCTGGCTCAAGTGACCAGGGAGACTGTGCTACTGGGCTCTATGGGACATCTATTGTATAAGATCAATCTACGAAGATGAGAGACAGAGCAGATCTACCTAATACATAAAAACAAACAGAGGGGTCCGGCCAGTGTGGCTTAGTGGTTGAGCATTGACCCATGTACCAAGAGGTCACCAGTTCGATTCCCAGTCAGGGCACATGCCCAGGTTGTGGGCCAAACCTCCAAAGGGGGACATGCAGGAGGTGGCCAATGAATGTTCCCTCTTATCAGTGTTTCTATCTATCTATCCCTCTCCCTTCCTCTCTCTCTAAAATAAAGAAAAACAACAACAACAATAAACAAACACAGGAAATCAGCCAAAATAAAGAGACAAAGAAACACATCCCAAATAAAAGAACGGGACAAAACTTCAG